TACAAGTTCTTCAAATACCTATAGAATGATAGGTTTCTTTTTTTGTGAGTGTAAAACATTTAAATACACCATTTCGAATGAAGGTTATTATTGCTATTTTACCCGATAGCGATATCATGGGGTAATGAGTTATTTAAAACGTTATTCTTTCAATTTAAACACTGTGTTTATAAAAGCAAAAAGCTAGAAAATAATTTGCAGAAACTGTTACTGTTTTTGCTGTGTAATGGGTTATTTTCTGGAAAAATAAGGTGTTTTTGTGCAGCATCATACCGAATTGAAATATTCATATGTATTTAGATATATATGTTTATTTACTGGTTGTAGTTGTGTTTTTCGGTAGAAAGTCAATACATATTTGTTTAGGTTTAACTTTACCTTCTTCTAGGTAGCTTTCTTCCTTAGCAGTTTTCTAAAAAAAGAAAAATGTAATATTAACAAAAAAATAAATAGGTAACCATTAAAATCACTAAAATAAAGTGGACACTGAACTTAAAATGCTATATTGAATTATATGTGTTCTACGACCCGGTGAAGCCTCCAGCGCGGAGTCGAAAGCTAACCAATAATAAATATTCTAAAGCAAGAAATATCTGAAAATATTTTAACGTTTATGTTATCAACTTATTAGCAAATCGAGTATCGCGGAGACATAAGTTTGATTTCTGTTTTTGTATTATTATTTAGGTTTTGGAAATAAAGCAAAAATCATTGGGCCTGATTAATTATTTCCCTAACTCCCATAAAATATATTGATGTAAATTACTTCCTTGATATTAGTTGATTAGCACTTAGTTTAAATCCAGGTAAATTCGAGTGCTTATCTCGTACTACTTTCAGAGAACTCAATATCTTTTAGAGCATTACAAATTTTCTTCCTGTGTTTTTTCTGAGTTACGGATGTAAGTATAAAACTATCATAAAATACCCGTGCTTCGTTGCATAATTGTCAAATATCCCATGTACAGATTATACTCGTCTATTATTCCAAATTACTTCTATAGCTATACCGAGAGAGGTCCTCATCCTAAGTACGTGGGGGGGGGGGGGGGGGTATGAACACAGTTTCAAACATGGCGAAGGAGACCAAGAACATAAAATCCGACGTCAGATTCTGGTTCAGAAACCCTAATAAGCTAGCACTAAACCCCATCATGCCTGTATGGCATTATGGACGCATTTTAGCTCCCTCCCCTTGATAGGGACACCCCAGGATCAACCCGAGTCCATTGCCAAGTTTGGTCCTTCTAGCTGCAAAACTGTGGAAGGAGTTCACGGAAAAGCAAACAACTTCCCAAACAATTTAACATGGAATTATTAAATTTAGATAGAGAAATCTCTTGACAACAACAGCTTATCAGTTAAAAATTAGGAAGTTGGCGCAGAGAGCTCCTGAGTAGCTTTGCGCGAATATCCCAAAACAAACAAACAATATTTTTCTGGGAATCGTCGATACAGTATAATTACTGGTATGTATGTGTATCATATTTCAAGTAATCTTGGAGGCTGTACATTCACAAAGACGTATTAAAATGAGTAATAAAAATCCCATTTTCATGACGTCGATGACGAACATGTTAACTAGAAAAGGATACTCACATATTACCCTGACATTTTCTATACTTCTTATTGCGTTTAAAATAAGCGTAAGAGTTACATATATATTCCTGTTTGTGAAGTTTTCTGTTAGCTAAAACAATCTCGGTATTTCCAGTGTTATTACATTAACATCTTTAAGCATACATATCATTAAACGAACACACTTGTGCAATAAAAATAGTATGTGATTCGCGTATAGTAGCACTACTGAAATTTAATATTTAACAATGTTAATTAATATTAGTTTTGTTGAAACTTCCTTCCAGGCGTAGTGGTAGAAATTTGTATTATATGAAACATAGATTACGCGTAAAATATTATGTGCAATATGCAAACGAATTTGGCCCGGCATGACCAGGTGGTTAGGGCGCTCGACTCGCAACCTGCGAGTCGCGGGTTCGAATCTCCGTCACATCAAACATGCTCGCCCTTTCAGCCGTGGGGGCATTATAATGTTATGGTCAATCCCACTATTCGTTGGTAAAAGAGTACCCCAAGAGTTGGCGGTGGGTGGTGATGACTAGCTGCCTTCCCTCTAGTCTTACACTACTAAATTAGGGACGGCTAGCGCAGATAGCCTTCGTGTAGCTTTGCGCGAAATTCATAACAAACAAACAAACAAGCAAACGAATTTAAAGGCTGATTGCGTGGAGATTTCCAGGTTATCTCAAAATGTTGATAATCGTTACAACATTTACAATATGAGGTTAGTAGTACAAAATAAATGTTTTATCAGTTCTTCTATCTCCAATTAAAGGGACATTTTAATAGCTTACATCTTTCATGTTCTTACCATTTTGTTGTAGTGTATAACACCTGAACATACATCATCATATACTGTGACTCGAACTATAAAGCAACGAAAAAAAACTTGGGAGAATTTGAAAATTCTGATGATCAGAACTTAAACGTTTGCCTAGTAACATTTCAAACTGTGTGTTAATTAACTAAACAACAAAAGTCTTTCCCAACGTTATCTGCATGCTACTTATTACGGATATAAGTGAATGCAAAGGAACGCAGTTATTAATCTATTTTATACTGACATTAAAATTACTGATATATTTCTTTCTATGGATCAAAATACTCAAAATTATTACCTACGCCACCTAAGGTGGACGGGGGTTATGCTTCACCCCAGTGTGTGTGTTTGTCAACAAGTTTTATCAAAAACGGCTGAATGGATTTGGACGAAAGTTCTAATACATTTGGACTATGCCCCAACTTAGAAGTGATTAGTTTTTTTGGAGGGTCAAGGTCACAGAAAGGTTACGAAAATAAAAACATTCCTATCTGTTAACATGGAGACCGATTTTCACACTATTTGTGCTCTGTAACTCAGTCAAAAATTATCGGACTTTGATAAAACTTGGTGGACTTATGAATATTATTCCTCATTGTTCTGCCAAAAATGGTTCGTGTTCATTGATAACGACGGACATACGAATACATTTGCATATTTTTTGCGTGGTGGAGATATGTGTCTATTAAGTGCCTTTGTAATTTTATTCTATTTCAGCATGTAGGTCTTTTTTATCTAGAAAATAAAACTTTTTTCTTTTTTTAACAACATACGAACTTCATTGCAATATTTAAAACAAGACGAACATATAAAGAACATATTTTCTTACTTGTTCTTGTGAGTTCGAAGGCTCTTCTCTTGCAGTGCTTATTAGCTGAGACTGCATATGACTAATAGACCCTTCAACAGCTGCAACGAAGTGTTATGTTTACAGATTAGCATTTACAAAGATTAAACATATCTTTTTTATTCTAAAATCAAGAATCACATAATAATGTACACTCTAAATCTAAAGATAAAAATTATATCACACCACAGAGGTTTAATACATTATATTAGAAAGAATTTGGAGCTTCACCACGTTGTTAAAGTAAATGTTGCCAAGTCAGGTCATGCTCTCTCTGATGACCGTGCATCTTGTCAATAGAACTAAAGCATAATTTCAATTGGAAATGGATCCGTCATAAAGCTGTCATGTTGAAAGCACACCACTTCTCCCTATTAGCTTTCCATAATCTATCTAGTTTACGAAAATGCCGGTTTCCCAGCGCTCGTTTCGACATTCTGATCTCACAGAAATCCATAGGCGCTGCGTCCGGCGATTTAACCAGTATGAATACTCTTTTCATTCTCCAGCAACTTGAAGTATGCCACGATTGAAATGATATGTCATGGAAGCAACTAGTGTACGTGTGACTTGTGTTGTTTACCACACAAAAATCCTTATTGGTTATGTTGCGTACTGTTGTATAGGGAACACGGACGACTTTTGCCATTGTCCTTTGCGTTCCTAGATTCTCATTTGTTATAAGACGCTGCACTTTGCTTATCACGACTAGGGTACGACTTATTGCAGGTATTTTTCTGGGTGGTCGTAAGTCACCAAGTTGATCCATATCAATGCCATTAAATACAAGGGATATCCAGGTATTCGAAATCCCCCTCCCCCAACTGAAAACACTTATGATCTGAGCGTATGAGCATTTTTCGCCGGAAGTGACTGTTACATACCCTTCTCAATTTCCGAAGGGCATCACACTAACTTCAATACGCCAAAGAATTATCAAAATGCAGTTCTTATACATTCCATTCTACTACGATTTTATATTGACTACGGTTGTCACGTAATTTGTTGATTTGCATATATAACGTACTCAACTCTGTAAAAACAGCCTACATTCAAATTGAATAAACGAACGAATTCTCTTTGCTTTTATCTGTACAAAAATTTTAAGAATTACGTCTATATAAAAAACATGTGTATTTTTCACGGTCGAAAGAAATAACGTTTTTAAAATGCATGAGACTACCTAAATTACTGATATTAAATACCTTTTTATTAAAGTGACGTGTAAATGACTTAGGTAATCGCACTTATTTGAGATTAAAACATTTAAAATACGACAAACAGAAAAACTAAGGAACGGAAATTGAGCATAAGTTTCTGCGCATACTTCAGCTGTACATATATATATATATATCATAAAGAAATAACTTACATGACTTTCTCCTTTTGTTAAGTGTTTTGCTGTAAATAATAAAAAATAACATTTTTGATTCAAAACTTACATAAATTATTAACTACTCTTAAAGTAATTTCTTGTAATTCTTTTTTTTTCCCCTACTTTATATCTACGTGTGCATTTTGTACGATTCTTAACATGAGCATGCAATTTTAAATTCACATAAGAAGGAAGATCAAAATGATTCAAACTGAAAATAGCCGTTAAAATGATTTATTAAACAAAACAGGAATTTACGAGTTCAAACCTACATAAGTTCATTACTTTCATCAAGTTCCACCAGTTTCTTCGTAGCTGGACTAAGTTCGCTTATAGGATGGTACCGAGATACCCTTGTCATTTCTTCGACCTCCAGAACTGCGTCATCTGAGACGAACTGAAGGGTATCTTGTTCTGAATCCGACACGTTGAAAATAAGTTACTGACACGTGTAAAAAACTATAAATCTATTTGAACTTTCACCTTAAAAAACACAATGCAATCCAACTTAATTTTGTCATGTTTCTGGTATGAATTATCGTTTTTCAAATTCCTTATATTGTGGCCATGATAACCTCACACTATAATTTATACCTAAGAAGACATTTTCTCGCATTGTGTTGCAATGTTGTCTGATCCTTCAATTTTCATTTTAAAAAAGTTCAGTAAAAGCTACATCTCCCAGAATTCAATGTATTCAGTTACTAGGCAATCTCTGGTTAGCCCTTGGAGCCTCTTAATTTATTTTCTAAAGGTTTCCTTCCAATTATCCTTAAGAGAAAAAAAAAAAAGCCTTTGCCCCAAGCCCATCTGTCTGCGACCCTTTCAAAATCCTGGATTCCGTATTGGCCTTTTGATATGTCTTATCAGTAACAAACGTATCGTAATAAAACTAGCTACTAGCACAAATGAAGCTACTATTTTCTATGGCACAATTTGGAATTGGTTTATTAAGAAAATAATATCGTTCAAGTGAGAAAGCTACGATAGTAATTCATTTACTTCAAGCAACATTAATATCTCACTGTGAAAGAATATTAATCCCTACTGTTTTAAACATATAGTGGTCATTCACCCTTACTAACATAACATTAAATGACAATTAGGGGCCTTTTTTGTCCACCTACGCCGTCCTATTCATCAAGGTCATTCAAATATTTATCAAGTCTTCCGTTAAACTCTGACCTAAGCATCACCTGGTGGTTGTGCAGCTCGATTTGCAAACTGCGAGTCACGGGTTCGAATCTCCATCATAGAGCATGCTCGCCCTTTCATCCGAGGGGGCGTTATTGTCTGAGGTCAATCCCAATATTCTTTTGGTAAAAGAGAAACCGAAGAGGTGTGGTGGGTGGTACTGAATAGATGCCTTCCATCTAGTCTATCACTGCTAAACTAAGGACGGCTAGCGCAGATAGCCCTCGAGTATGTTTGCTAGAAATTCAAAACAAACCCTTAAACTCCCCCAAATTAATTTCGTCTGCCACATCTTAAGGCAACCCATTCCAAAGGCCAACCAACCACCCTGTTAGAGAAGTATACTCTCTTAGCTTTTTATGCTAACAAACATTCAAATTCAGACAAGAACTAATTCTTCTCAGAATTGAATTATTTTATCCTAGCAGAAACGCCCCCTACGGATGGCAGTTTGAGCTAGTGATTAGTAATCGTAGTATTCATACCTCATTGAAACAAAAATAGAAAAAAGTGAACATTTTCTAAAACATGATTTTTTTCTGGGAAGTATTGCACGGGAAAGTGTTCGGGTTGTGCTCTTTAGTCATATGCAAGTCATTGCATCAAAATGATTCAATGTACAGGGCTCAAAATTTGCATATATTTTACTGATATAAACTGTACTGTTTTCATATATTAAAATGGTAATGTTTATTGAAAAAATAAGTTTTTTTAAGAACTCTAGTCTCTCAGTACTACATTTAAAAATTACATCAATAAAAATATCATCAAATCTTCACGTACAGTCCTAGCGAAAGTCGTATTCTTGTTGTGAGGAGAGTAGTTTTATTTAAAATTGTGTTCTATTATAAAGAAATGGTTGTTGCACATACCACAGTTATTTTTCTAATTGTCTGAATATTGAATACTCAAAGTGTGAAATGTTTATGGAATTTTGTTTGTGGTGCCATTCAATAGATGGCGCAGGAGTTTTGGTTACATACATAGATAATAACATACACACTACGTCCATTATAGTAAGATTATGTATATCAAATTACTAAAACATTACTGTCCTCGTGTGTTCTTACCTGGATCTACTTTATTAAATCTCGTTTGCCAAGCATTCTTTCTAACATCATAAAACATAATAATGAAGATATGAGATAAAAAGCATGATACGTGACACGTCAGTGACGTTTACAACCGACAAACTCACTACCACACCTGTCCATGATAAGGCCTGTTAAATTCTTATATGAATTGTGGCTAACTTAACAAATTACATATTCAGAAATTTAAGTAAATTATATAAAAACATGTTATTTTGATGTATATAAACTGTAAAGAAAGCGTTGATGACATGAATTGGTGGGCTTTAACGAACTGTCTGTAAAATATATATATTTTACTTCGTATACATGGGGTAATAATTAGCTAGTATAGGCATTATGTGATTACATCGTGTTTTGCTATCCTACTTCTAGAAAGTATGAATAAAATATGAATACCATCAATGTTTATTTACCTTGTGTAGTTAACATTTAAACATCCCTTAGTGTATGGTTATTCAGTCAAATGTTTCCTCGTTATGATGTCAATTTTTCAACCATACACACACATATACTTGATCCAAAAGTGTTGTGTTTTTTAGTCTTGTTTTCAACGGCTTCAAATGGGGTAAAAATGCTCGAAATTTAATAATTTAGACCTTTAAGTGTATTGCTAAACCTAAATCAAATGATAAAGAAATATTAATACGAAAAAATTCCCATTCACGTGTATAAGCACATTTACTTTAGCTTATCCCCGATTCTATATAAACTTAGTACCTGTTGTTGTCTGTTCTCCACTTCTGTGAGATTCAGTGTCCTCTTTAACTGTGATGGCTTTAATACTATCTATACTATCTACATTTAGTACTTGTGACCGACTGCTGGAATTGTCACTCTGCATGACCAGACTTGATCCGTGTGTAACTACTTCGATACGAGTAAGCCTAAAATAAATCAAAGTTTGTGACTGAATTTGAGATGTCATTTTATGAAAATTTATAATTTGCTCTACAATATATTATTATTTACATTCGATGATTGTAGTTGTTTATATGGTTGTACACAGGAAAAAATCGTTGTTTTTTTAAAAATAAAATATATGTATACGTGAGTACTAGTAAATTACATCCTTAACTGACAATTTTAAGATTACACAAACCTGCGAATTTAAATAACGGATGTTCAATAATTCAGCTAAGAAGATTTCTAAAATAATATTAATTTTTTTCTATCAAGTAAGGATTTTTTACAAATTTAAAACTTTCACTTAGATCAAATTATTATTTCGTTT